TAAAATTACTTTAAAAGTAGATTATTTTTCAGTGTAATTTTTAATCACTCTAAGCATAATAAAACATCCCCAAAATATTAATGATCATGTTCTTGTTATATTCCAGGATGCTAAATCCTTTGCTGCCATCTTTTGGAAGTAGGTTACTAATGCATGCCATGGATATCTTTTAACCTGGAAGACTTCCCAGATTAGGAAAATAAGGAAAATTTATATTCTCGCAGGAGTGAAATGCTAAAGCAAAATTAGATTTTCTCCATAGTGTTGAAAAATTTGTTTTATTCACACTACCTACAGCTGGATTCTGGCCTCTCTTTCTTTGAAAATCCTGAAAGGGGTGATCTTTTACAAGGAAACTCTGACTGACCAATGCCTGGGCTTTCCTCAACACTCTGTCTTAATTCCTCAGAAACTCAAGCATTTTTTGTGAAAAAACACTAATAGTTTGTCTTTTTTCTATCTCCAAACCAGATTTGTCTTAAGGTGAAGGGGCACAAAGCAGGAAGGGACTGAGCAATTCCAAAAAGGTAGATAAAGAGGGAGCTACACTTGGAAGAAATGACATGTAAAACCATTTCCACAGTGTGGGCTAATAGATCAGGAAAGAAAGAACACACTAGCTCAACTTCCCAAGTAAGAATAATGGCATTGTATGAAAACATTAATAAAATTAAAGATTTCTTAAAACTTCAGTAGCATCATAAAGTCAATATAACAAACCAGTCTCTTCCGACATTTCACAGACGAAAATAACTACCTGATTATCAAGTTGAATAATATTTTTTCAAAACTACCTGAGTCTCAAGATGGTACATTAGACATGCTGGTATAATAGACTAACAGTGGCTGGTTTCCTTCATTCATCGGAAGCTGATAAACACTTTTAATCAGTGTAGTTGTTTATCGCTGGCTTCCTCAAGATTCCGACACTTCCCTTCTAGAAGTTCTCACCCCAGAAGTTGGCACTGGTATTGAGAAATGCACTTGTATCTTGGTTGTTTACTCTCATTCTCTTCCGCATGAGCATTCAGTGTTTAATGTATATATAGTCCTTATCATTTGACATCAAAGAAGATTTGCTTTTTTGTAGTGCACTTCTCAAAATGTTAGACATGTGCTTTATTTATTCACCCAGGACTGGCTGTGAGTACAACATCCTTCGTCTCTAACTTGCGCTGCCAGTCACAGGACAATAAATAATTTGCTTGCTGAGGGGAGGGCAGGAACTTTTGAAGAAGAGTCATTGCTCAGTTGCTTTATGATTGGAAATAGATCTTCTCATTCCCCTTGTGACCTGAAAGGCAACACACTATCACTGTGTTCAAATTCTTATATCTGCAATGAGATAGACTTCACATTCATAGACCATTTCCTCTGCTTAAAATATACTTTTGATCTCTCTTACTTCCTAAATTCATTAATCAACTCACACTTAGTTTCTCTGTGAAAACTTAGTAGTGCCTTCAGGAAGAATTCTTTGCTCTCTCTTGAGACCTTCTCTCTTTGTACTTCTACAGAGAAATTAGCACAATGTATAATCACTGTGTGCTTACCCAACCTTCCAGCTGTCTCTGGTCTATAAGATCTCCAGGCAGAGACCTACTCCGGTTTACATTTGAACTCTCCAGATCTGACCTAGAATGTTATTGATATGGGTGTACTAAATGAATGAATGAATGAGTGAAGACAAGGTTGAGAAGTGAAAAGAGCATAAACTCAAAAAATACTTGCTTAGCAAATATGTCTGAGATCAAATATATACTTGAAAAAAGAAAAAGAAAATAAAGAGAAGATGTTACATAAGCTACTGAAATTGTGTGTGTTGTAGTGTTTTGTTTTTTTTTAAATTGAGTATATGTGGCCTTTGGAAATGTTTCAAAAATTATTTTTCATTTAAAATGCTATTTGTTTATGCATGAGTTCATGCAACAATTATGCATTTATTGCAAATTAAGAGTTAGATAAAATCATAGTATTAATTCAGGTATTATATAATGTCATTTTTAACATATTATACTGAAGCTACCTGAAAATATTGATAAAGTACATAATATTCTACCGCTTAAGATAACAGTAGGAAAATACTGTGCTTTAGGTGTAGAAATAGGATTGAGGCCAGGTTAACTGCTTTTGTTTACTATAGCTTTGTAAGCCATAGTTGGATATTGTTTATTAATTATTTTGTACTAAATTGAAATTAAAAATCCAGTGGGTTCTATGGAAAAGAGGATTTTAAAGGCTTTTTCATTAATATTTTGTGTGACTTTTATTTTTTTAAATCATATGTAAATAAAAACTACATATTGGGTGGGTGGATTAAAAATGAACAGTTCTTTTGAATGGATATAAATATCCAACATGAACAAATTAGGACTTCGCATATTAGGATGATGTAGATCCTGTCTTCTCACTGTGGGCTCAGGTACCACAATGGAATCATACTTGTTTATTTTTTTTCAAAGATTTTATTTATTTATTTATTTGACAGAGAAAGAGAGAGAGATCACAAGTAGGCAGAGATGCAGGAAGAGAGAGGGGGAAACAAGCTTCCTGCTGAGCAGAGAGCCTGATGCGGGGCTCCATCCCAGGACCCTGAGATCATGACCTGAGCGGAAGGCAGACACACACAGACACTGAGCCACCCAGGCACCCCATCATACTTATTTATTAATAACTTATATGAATTAGAAAGTTAACAGTAACTGGTAGGAATGAGAAATCTTTATGCAATGACTCCCTCAAAAATGTTTGAAAATTCCAAAATTAAGCAAATGTTGATCAAACTTTGTTTTCCAAACAAGTGGAACATGAACCAAACACAATTTTGAAAAAGTTGAACTGTAAATGTTGTAAATGTTGCTAAAAGCATAATTTTTAACTAAATTTCATATTTTTGTGCACATTTAGTTTTCAATACATTTGTTTATTAAACCATATATCTCAATGGGATTTGCTTATGCATAATTGTTGAATGAGTGAAAAATTAATAAATTTTAGAGATATGGGAAAAAATACCAGGTACTACTTTAATTATTGGTCAATATATTTATTTGGACAATTTAGCTTGGATTAAATATCTTTTAAATTAAAAATAGTAGAAATCCATGTTATTTTGAAGTCTTTAAAGAAGTGTTTGTCTTTTGTTTATTGAAGGATTCCCTATGCTAATTAAGTGATCTTGATCTGGGTTTCTTTAGCAGCATGTGGTGCTCCAGTCTTAGACCATTTTGTTTATTGACTGGTTTGATTTTAACCAGATTATCCACTTCCTATACAAAGGGGGAAGCTTTACATTAAAGAAATACTTGAAATGGGTTTTCACCTGTGTCCACAAGGGATGATTTCTTTCCAGGTGCTTTGTGACTGAGTTGCATAAAAAGTGTATCTAATATTGACTGAATGCAATCCCAGGCGCCCTTGCAGGTATCCCACCTGCTTATTCCATTCGGTACTCACAGCAACCCTCTAAGGTGGCTATCATCATCATTATATTTTTCCCAGAAAAGGAAACTGGAACATAATTTGCCTGACATCACACGGGTATAGGGAAGGAGTACCAGGATTCAATAGAGCAGTTCCTCTCCTCAGCCTACAAATGTCGCTAGGTAGCTATTCCGTCCCATCTGCCTGTACGCTATTCTGTCAGTGCACTATTCCGATTCACAGAACTACATATCCCAACTCTGGCAAAATGGTAAATGTGCTTTGGCTCGAGCAGCAGGTGGAGGTAAGGATCTCACTCCACGGGAAAACTCAAGGCTCCTGGTTCCGGGTGGGAGCCGGAGGGTCCTGTCTCCTAGGCAACAGCTGTAGCGCAGCGGACGATAATGCACCCTTTTCCAGGGACCCAAAGGGGTGACGTCATTTCCTTCAGTCGTTCCTTCCTCGACGCTTCGGGCGGAAGAGCGGCGTTGGGTACCCGAGAGACCTGTCGGTTGGGAAGTCACTTCCTTCCGGAGACGCGGTTTCTTAGCAACCGTCTCCCATCTCCGCTTTTTAGTCCCTCCCCTTTGCTCAGTCCGGTGCGAGTACCCGAGAGCCGGCAGGCCCAGGTCAGGGCGGGAGGCTCCTGTCCAAGGCCAGGAGCTCAGTGAGTGGCGGGAGCCCTCCGTAGGATCGGCTGGCGTGGGTACAGAACGCGGGTCTTGGAGGGTCTCGGAGGAACGCGGCGAGGATGGCGCTCGGTGTGCTCGGGCCTGGGGAGTGCTGGGAGCTGGGCGGGCAGGCGGCGCGGTACAGTGCGGAGCCAGCTGGGACCCGGCGCCACTCCGCCGGGCGGGCGCGGTCCCTGGTGGCGCGCTGCGGCGGACAGCTGGGTAGCCGAAGCCCAGGCCTCCGCTCCGAGCACGGGAAAAGTTCACGGGCCCATTCGTGCAGTGATTTTAATACTGCCTATCATGGAAACTTCGTTTTGTTTTATCTAGCCCTGTTAGCACTGTTGCTAGAGGGAAGAGCGATTGGGGGGGGGGGAATATATATATCCCCCCCCCAATCGCTATTGAAGGTATTGATATATATATATATCGCTATTGAAGTTTAGCATTATGATCTTTGTCTTTCACTAGAGCTGTACGCAAGCTTTTGCTTGTTTGCTTGTTTGTTTTGGTTGTCCTTCTAGCTGTATCTTTTATGCTGCCAATCTCCTTTAAAACAAGGTATGGCTGTTTCATGGGCACTGTTATATTTTCTGAATGGAAGAGAAGTGAAAAATAAGGTGTTGTATTTTAACTGGCAACATTTTACCATACTAAGCTGTTACAGTCGTTTATTTGCTCATCCTTAAAATAATTGCCAAATTCTTTTAGGATAACTTCAATTTGACTTTTCCTTTTTTTGATAATAAACTTGTGAAAATTTTATATTTCTTTATAAGAACGCTAAATATTTAAGTGAATATGTAGCGCGATGTTATGAGATGCTTTTCTTAATTTTTTTGTTTGCTCTTTTTTTTAGCACTAAAGAGTAGTAATAGAAATTCTCAAATATGCAAAAAAGTCTGATTTGTTTTTTATTTCAGATACCATTAGAGTTTGAATTATTCCTATTATTTATTAGCTGTTTTACAAAGGTAGAGAAAAATCAAAAAACACTATGTCCGATGAAGTTTTTAGCACAACTTTGGCTTATACAAAGAGTCCAAAAGTCACCAAAAGGACTACTTTCCAGGTAAGTATTTCAAACGTTTTTGAGTGATTTTAAAGGTAAACATTGTATTAGCAATGTTGGATTTAAAATGACTCTACAAAGGGCCCTGTGTAACACAGGAGTGTATCTTACATTCCTTTGGAAGTTTTGCAGGTGGTCCTGTTTGGGCTCAAGTGTTACCAACTCTCTTCTGTGTGGCTTACATACTACTTAACTAGCTTAACTACTAGGTTCTTACTAAGTTAAAAGTTTAAATCAACTTTTAAAAGTTAAGTTATATAGCAACTTTAAATTTGCATGTAGTTTTTTTCTGTTATAATAACATTTCAGTTTTTTCCATCCAGTCACTACAGTTTTGAACTCAGCCTCTAAGTTTGCAGTATTAATTACATTTATTACTGCAGTGTGCTAAAACAAAAGATCTTAAAAAGTACCAGTTTCTTTCAAAATGCCAGTTTGTGATAAATCTTGCCTAAATCGAGTCCTATCTTCTTTATTACTCTCCTGCCTTAATTATACCCTGTAACTAATTTATTTGCTGTTCCCGGTCTCCTCCTGTTGAACTGGAAGTTCCATAAGGAGAAGGGGCTTGTCTGTGATGTTACACATTGAGTCTGAGGGCTTGGGTGCATGGCATAAGGTAGGCTTTCATTGAATATTTGTTATATGAATGAAACCCAAGTTTGAAAGCAGTTATTAATCAAGCGTTGTTTAAAGAATTAATTCTAAATATGAGACCTCTATGTTTGGATGGAAATTGATTTTACTTATCTCGTTTCAGGATGAGCTAATAAAAGCAATTACAGCTCGCTCAGCCAGGCAAAGGAGTTCTGAATACTCAGATGACTTTGACAGTGATGAAATTGGTATGTGTCAATGTGGAAAAGTGAACCACTTTTCCTCTTTTTGTTTACTTAGTTATGTTTAGCTCATCCCTTCAAAAATAATCACTTATGTCAAAATAACTGGTTCTAAATAATTGGTTCTAAATTTCCAACTTTTTAGTGAGTAAAAAGCCACTCGGAAGCTTCAAGAAGTTGTATGATTATCTTTGTTTATTTCTGAATGGTGTATACTGAAAATATAAATTAACTGATAGCAGGTTTGAAGTAAAAGTATGCCTGTCTGCTATAAACCATGTTGGACACAACAGTGTCAACCTTATGAGACTCTACAGCGAATTAAAAACTAGAGCCCAGAGAACTAAACTTTAGTGCATGTCATATAATCACTTTTGTAATGCTTTTTGTAAATCAGATTTTCTTTTGGCTGTAATAGGGGTTTAGTTTTAAAAACCTAGTATATCAGTGCTGGTATGACTTAATTTTGTCTCTTTCGATACTGTAAAAATATTAACATTTTAGATATCAGATGTAAGCACACAGAATTTCAAACTTGAAATTCAGCACTTTATACTTTAATATGAAGTGAATAATTTTTAATGTTCTCTGTGAAAATAATCAGAACAGTAGTTAAAGCATTGCTGTATAGTTAAATTGGCATTCTTTAATACTCTTCTCACAGTAAAATCTAATACTCTGGTATGGATGAAATTATAGTACCAAAGTTTTTATGGAAAATAATTTAATTAGCAAATAACTAGAAAAATTCTTCCACTTACCAGTGTTTTTGATTTTATATAATGAAGTCATTTGCAAATAAAAGCTCTACAGTCCAGAACCTAATTTAAATAACCCAAGTCATCTTTATTTTGAGGAACCTTTGAATGACTTCTCAGAGCAAGTGGAGAGTTTGGCACACAATTCACACTCACTAAGTATAATTAATGAATAATGAATAAATTAATGAAATTGAATTTTTTTTTCAAAAATACCAATAACAACTGCCTAAGTTAGCTGTGTGTTAGAGCTGCAGATACTTGTCCATTCATTGTTGTAAATTCATTTCTAGTCTTTAAGGTAATCTTTTTGATTAATACGACCTTCACAACTTTAAAGAGGCTATTGAAAACGTTTTTTCTCTTCCATTTTTCAGTTTCCTTAGGTGATTTTTCTGACACCTCAGTAGATGAAAATTTGGATAAGAAAAAGATGAATGATTTCCATTTATCAGATGATGAAGAAAAGAATTCTCCAAAACTGTCTTTTTTGAAAACCAAGAAATCAAACAGTGACATAATGGAAGATGAGGCAGTATTCTCCACCAGAAATGATGAGGAAATGGCACCTGATGGTTGTGGAGATATGGCTGGAACTCCCTTATCTGAATCTCAAAATAAAGACCAAGAAATTGAAAAAGACGAAATTAAAATGAAACCTAAACCCAGAATTCTTCCAGTCAAAGGCAAATCTTCAGGTAATTCATGTTACTATATTTCTTGAAAACATATTTTATTTATTTTAATTTTTAATTTTTTTTTAAGATTTTAGTAATTTGAGTGAGAGAAAGAGAATGAGAGAGAGCACAAGTGGTGGGAGGGACAGTGGCAGAAGGAGAAGGAGACTTGCTTCCTCAGGTCATAACCCTGAGATTATGACCTAAGCCGAAGGCAGACTTGTAACCCACTGGTCACTCTGGTGCCCCTTGAAAACTTATTTTAAGATAATCACAAAATATCTTTATATGGTAGCTAGTAAATATTTAAGAAATAGGCATAACTTTGTAATTTAGAGTTATAAAGTAAAATAATGGAACCATATCAAAAACTCATAATTCTGATGTCCAGTTGCATGTTAGTCTTGCATGTATGCTGGTGCCTAATAGAAGGCCAGAGTACCTTGCCCTCCACAGCTGTGGCTCCCAAAGTTTCTAGGTCTAGCCTTCTGAGGCCCTTGGGCTTCAGTTTTGTTTTTGGAGATGGGACTGAAATGCAGTCCTTTCTAATCCATTTTACACTCCAGAAATTAGTTACAGCAGGAAGGAACTAGTCCTTCAATCATTTCCATGCCATCATTTGCCAGAAAATCTTTTTGACATTTGAGAATGTGAAGGAATAGAGTTTTGCTGTTGGTGTTGGTATTTAAGCCTCCAGCTTGCCTTACGGAAACAGAATCCCCATTTAGTTTCTCTGTTCCCTGGGAAAATCCACTCAAACTCAGTTTTCTGAAGGGAAGTTCCTGGTGTGATTGGGAGTAGAGTCGTTTCTCCACAGTTCTCCTGAGCTCTAGACACAATGGAGCAAAGACGAAGTGAAGCAGGAACCAGCCTCTCAAGAGGTCCCCTGGGCCACCATACAGAAACAGGGGCATAGAAGTTTAAGGTTTTGGTGTCTTGTAGTCATTTTTTCCTGTTTTATAGAAAAAATATTAGTTGATACTAACTTTCATAAAAATATCTTTCCTTATATCATCATTAAATATTCTACTGGTAAATATTTCATACTTCACATATTAGATATCACTAGTAACATCAGACAGAACTTTATTTCAGAAATTTTAAGGGAACCACTCCTTCCCCCACAATCCCATTGACTTTCAAATATGAACAGAGCAGAGACTACTAGGAGAAGAGCCATTGTATTGCTAATTATATGTGACCTTGGCAAATAAGGTAGGCCTTATTGTCCTCATGAGGAGGAGGATAAAACCTGCTCTTCTCTTTCTACTGAATTGTTTCAAGAATCTATTGAAGTATATCTCAGAAACTATATAGTTCTACCACAAATATAAGCACAAGACATAATGAAACAGAATTAAGCTGCTGAATGTACTTAATTAGGAAAGAAAGCATTTTGAAAATGTATAGTTGTGTTTTTGTTTTTGTTTGAATAGCACCAAAAATGGAGAGAAAGGAAGCATAATGGAACTTGGTGAATAATCTAGTAGTTTACCATTTCCCAAAGTACATTCTACAGTCTGTTCCTTGGTATTATTGGAAAAACACAGAATTCTAGAAATTTTAAAGTGATTTCTTAGTGGGAGAACTTCTTGGAGCCATTAATAAAGAAATATGAATGGGGAATCTTCAAGAAGGATAGAGCAGACAGTATTTCCTGGTTCCAGTAAATTTAGAAATCTATTTTTGTGGATTGTATTTATCTTATTTGTCTTGATTCTGAAAAGCTTTTTATTAGGTAAATGAAAGCATACAGAAATTATGCTTACATAGAAAATGTATGCTTTCTATGCTTACATAGAAAATGTAAGCATACAGAAGCTAAAAGTTAGTCTTAGATAGAAGTATCTAGTTAGAACTGGATGGTGGATAATCATCAATAATCTATCTATTTAATACTTTAAAAAAAAAACCTGTGACAAATTAAAATTAATAGAGAAATACTGTCTTTAAACCACAAGATGGCACCAAGATTCTAAATATTATACACAAATGTGCAATACTTATTTTTAAAGTCATTAGCCATTTGCAATTTATTTTGTTATAAAAAATAATTACCAAAAACAGTTAGTCATTTACACTTAATTAGGAAAGAAAGCATTTTGAAAATGTATAGTTGTGTTTTTGTTTTTGTTTTTGTTTTTTTCTGAAAGCTTGACAGTACTTCTAGGAGTGGAGCGGAATTTTGGTATAAAATATATTAAAGTCATTATTTGTAGACTCTTCAGATTGAAGAAAAAAATTGAGATTAGTGGTTAGTGCCTGGCATGTATAATTCAATCAGTATTTTAGTGTAATCATAAGTGAATGATTTCATTCATGAAAGAAAGAGTGTGGTTCCCAAGCTAAGCTTTATCCTTTTCTGAATTTTTAGACTTTTTTCATTTTCTTATGAAGTTTGAAACTTAGTGTTTTTAATGTGAGACATTGCCAAGTAGCAATTAAGGCTTTATAAAAATATTGGAACCTGAAAGTTTACTTTGTTCTTGCTGTCTTTTGTTAAAAGTGCAGTAACTAGACTCTTCACTTGATTGAGCAACTATCACATGGGGAGTGATTGCAGAAAGTAATTTTTACGGGATGTGTTGCTTTTATTTTAACATTAAAATGACTAAAGTCATGAACTTTGGAGCCAGGGTGCCCTTGCTTTAATCCCACAAACTAGAGTTTATGACCGTGGGCATATGACCTCTTTGTTCCTCATTTTATTTGTCTGTAAGATGGGCATAATAGTTGAACCTGAACTAAAGGTTTGAGACAATTAAATGAGTTTATATATTTGAAGTGTTTAGAACAATCTGGCATAAAGCACTTTTCTAAATGCTTTTATTAGCATTTGTTCGTAAGCAGATCATTTTATTTTTCCACACATATTTATTATAAATACAGTCTGTTTCAGTATGTTACAGGCACTGTGATGATAACTAAGAATACGACATTAAAAAACATTGTACCAAAAACAAAACAAAACAAAAAAAAACAAAAGACGTAGTACCGATCCTCCAAGACTGTCTTAGTCCATTTGGGCCACTATATGAAAGTACCATAGACTGGATGGGTTTTAAAAAATGGAAACCTCTCTCTCACAGTTCTAGAAATTACAAGTCTGAGATCACAGTGCCAGCACGGTCAGGTGAGAGCCCTCTTCCAGATCTCAGACTTCACATTGTGTCTTTACAATGGTGGAAGGGGCAAGAGAGCTCTCTGGAGGCTCTTTTATAATCCCCTTCATGAAGGTTCTGCCCTTGTGACGGGGTCACCTCCCTACTGCCTTAATACTATCACCTTTGTGTTTAGGATTTCAACCTAAGAATTTGAGGGTACACAAGCATTCAGACTGTAGCAAAGACTTTACAATTTAATGAGAAGGTATATGAAAGGTGTAGTAAGAACAGGAAAGGAGGCATCTAAGTTTACCTGAGGGCATCAGGTAAAGCTTCCTGGAGGAAATGGCAATAATAGTTGTAACTGAAATAATAGTACCCATAGTCAGGAGTCTTGGTTGCAAATGACTTGACTCAAACTTCAGTGAAAAGAGAAATTTATCACCTATTGAGCATGGATGTCAAAAGACCTCTCTTTAGGTCTGATTAAGTTTGTAAACAGTAGTTTTATGTGATCTGCATTCTCTACTTCTACTTCTTCTTCCCTCCCTGATTTCCAGACCTCCTCACTGTCTCCTCCCACCCCTGTCACTGGCCCAGTTACTCCATCCGCTGGTCCTATATTTTTGTCATTGGGTCTCTTTGTTTCAGACTTCCCTTCACCTGGCCGGAAGGAATGCCACTAGTAGTCCCCAAATCATATCCTTTGGGCCTTGTGACCTTAAAGGCATATCCTCCAACTCTAAATAGAAAAATACTGACCTGACCATCTGCTGTGGACAGGGGAAATGATGTTTCTGTGATAAGCTGGGAGGGTGATATATACTGTGGGCACACCCCTCTCACTGAGGTACGGAGGAGATGTTTGTTAACCCATTAGAATTACAAGGATGGAGAAGAGGAGAGACTACCCCCAAAGAAAACAGGAGTGACAAACAAACCAAAAAAAAAAACAAAAGAAAAAAAACAAAAGAAAAAAAAGAAAGAAAAGTTTACCACAGTTATTAATGTTCACTGAGAGCATTTACCATGAGTCCGGCACTGTGCTATGCACTTTATTTTCTCACTTAGGTCCCACAGGTATACCTCAGGAATTCTTAACTAATTTTACTAATGGGGAAACTGAGCTCGTGGAGATGATATGGTTATGTAAGGTTATAATGCTAGTAAATGTCGGAGCCAAGATTCATGTATGAAATACCTGAACTAGACACACTCCTCTAGACAGAAGGTAGAACGGTGGTTGCCAGGGTCTCTGGGGCAAGGAAAAGAGAACTTGCTGTTCAACAGGTGTAAAGTTTCACTACGAAGGTGAATATATTCCAAAGATCTGTACAACACTGATTCTTTAGTTAATAGTACTGTATTGTGCACTTAAAATTTGTTAAAAAGATGGGTCTGTAACCACAGACCTGGTTACAGAACTACCCTCTTAACAATTTTTTAAATTGTTCTTACTACAATTTACAAAAAAAACCCTGACTCAACACCTTCTTTTAGGCATTATATAATATTCTGCTTACACTTAGGCTCAGAAGACAGGCAAGCATTTGTCAGGAGAAGCAGCGGGAAGCAGACATTCTAGGCAGAGGCATGAGCTGGGTAAAGGTATGGTAGCAGGAGGGATTGTGGCACAGCAGTGAGACAGCAGTGAGCCCGGCATTCCGGCATTTCTGGAACATAGATTACAAAATGGATGTGCGGGTAGACGAGGCAGTGCCAGCAGGAGAAGACCATAAGACCTTAAGCTTTTATTCCGTAGGATTTGACGCTGGGGAGCCATTGAGGCATTTTATGGAGAGGAGTAATGTGATCTGATTTTCATTTTTCAAATACCTCTGAGGCAGTAATCTAGGAAAGGGTGGATGAGGAGCTGAGGGTGGGGATGCAGAAAGTGGGTTAAATGAGAGATGTAGCAAGAAGAATCAGTGGGGTATCCTGACCCATTAGATATAAGGGGAACAGAGGGAGGAATCCAGGATGGCTTAAACATTTGGCCAGAGTTTAGAACACAGCTAAAATTGGCAATTGAAACATTTATAGTAGTGCCACTTGGTATGATGATGAAGTCTTCTAGCAGTGTTCATAAGGCCATGTGTAGATAAAGAGGATGAAGGAGTTGATTATTTCAGTTTTGAAATTTTGTCAGAGGGAAACACTGGTAGAACAATGAAGAAATTAATATGCTTAATAGGTAAAATTTGGGCAAAAAGCTTATGTAAAAACTTTCTTATATTTTGAGGGCTGGACGAATACCAGCCCCAGATTGTTGTTTTAAACTTTGAAGTAATGGAAATAGTCACTGAGAAATTTTTAATAACTGCAGAGAAGTTTTATGGACTCAAAAAGCAGCAGCTCATAAATGTAGTTCTTCATTACTCCGTCCGGGGAGAGCGAACACTTCTGCCCCCAGTACCGACATCACCTTCGTACTTGTAACAGAACTTACCTTTCTCTTAGAATTTCTTTTGTTTAGAACCACCTCCCCTCCCAACCTGTAAAACCCCTGGACGGGGCCATGGTCATTGTCTTGACTATCAAGTCTGGGAATGTGAGTTATCTGTATGCGGCCTAGCCGCAGATACTGGCTGAAGGTTCATAGATGAGCCCCCTCCTGTTAGAGAGGCAGTTTAGAAACTGGGGCATAGTTGGTGTTTTGTTTTTTATTTTTTATTTTTATTTTTTGCATGCTAGGAGAGTTCATAAAATTGAAGCATTAACTTCTCACAAAACATAAGTATGCTAGTTCCTTCTGGGATGGCAGCTACTTTTAAAAAAGAAAATTTGATCGTGAGCTATTGCTTATTTGTGCTTCTGGGAGATCTGTGTAGAGAACGGTTGTGGGCTTCTTCTGGCTCTCCAGGACAGAGAGCCACGGTGCACAGGCACAGGAAGGAAGTGGGGCAGCGAAGTGGTGGTAGGTGAAGTCATGGGCACTGTTCGGTATGCTCACCTTAAAACGGTTTATTTTTCAACAGAAAACAGCAGCAGTCTTGAAGCAGACAAGCACTTTAAGCCTTTACCTCGTCCACGGAGCATGTTGAAAAAACACAGCCACGGGGAGGAGAAAGATGGGCTAGGCAAAGATGAGACCACTGCCCTCCATGAAGAATTGGAGGCACATTCTGCACCCTCCCCCTTTCCAAAACTAAGTGACAGACAACTAGAAGCTGTGAAAAAATTGTTCTCCGAAAACCTCGATCCTGAGGTTAGCACTACTGTTGAATTGCTGGATTGTGCTCTTGAACTGAGGTCTTTGCAGCTGATTATGGAAAAGAGAATATTTGTGCGCATGCACGTGATGTGTGTGTGTGTGTTTGTGTGTGTCGTACATGTTTTCTTCAGCAGTTGATAGGGAAATCTAAAGTTGTTTTTTTTTTAAATATACAGTATTCCACTGAGTCTAAAACTTCACCAACTCTAAGATATAACAAAGATGTAGCATTATTTTATGTACTGCTAAGAAAGGAGAAAACTACAGACACCAGTAATTATAAAATGAATCATCCAGTTGCAGAGAAAGTGAAATGTGAAAAAAAATATCACCCTTTTGAATCTATGCAATACTATCTTTCATCATAAGAATTTATAGGTTTATTCACATACCTTTTTTTTTTTTGAAGATTTTATTTATTTATTTGTCAGAGAGAGAGAGAAAGAGCACAAACAAGCAGAGTGGCAGGCAGAGGCAGAGAGAGAAGCAGGCTCCCTGCTGAGCAAGAAGCCCGAAGTGGGACTCGATTCCAGGACCCTGGGATCATGACCTGAGCCAAAGGCAGCCGCTTAACCGACTGAACCACCCAAGTGTCCCATATTCACATATCTTTGAATTATATTATTTATGGCTAAGGATAATATAGCCAATGTCATTTTATTTATTTGGTTTTATTCACTCAACAAAGGTATATTGAATGATCATGGCACTGTCCTATATTTTGGGAATCTGCCAGAATGGGAGTAAATGTGACCCTTTGGGATTTCATTGGAGAGTTTACTATGTATTGTTATTAGGAGAGAACGCTGGGCCTCCTCTCTTTACATTGCACTGTGGTTAGTGAACTTCCACCTAACATTTCAGAAGGAGTAAGTATGGGAAGAACATTCTGTCTCCATAATCTGCTTGAGCAAACTGGGGAAAAGGAACGGAATGGTACCTGACTAAGCTTCTTTTTCTCCTCACTCCTCTGCGGTAGTGATGCGTGTAAAGATCTGGTCCCTGGAAGGTGGTACAGAGGGAAACTTGGGAGCAACTCCTGTGTGTTATGACTAAATAAATAAACCTTTCCAGTTGGGATAGGAAATATGAGCCCAGTAGACAACAGGTTCAAATCTGGTTTCGTAGTTTAGCTTTGCCAGTAAAGCTGACAATTTGATATAAATCTTTTCTGACCTCAATGTGCTCTTTCCTAATTTGTTCTGAAAATTCAAGAAAAGAAAAAGAGGTCTTCTCAAACCCAGTCATTTTATATTTAATAAAATGATCTGGTCAAGTGGATTTCGTGTTAGTTTAGTATAGCTGCTATAACAAGGTGCCACAAACTCAATGACTTTAAACGACAGAAGCCTCCGGTCTGGAGGCTAGAGTCCAATGGGTAGCGCCATGTTCTCTCTGAAGCTTCTAGAGAAGAATCCTTGCCTCTTCCGCCTGCTGTTGGTTACCAGCAGTCTTTGGTGCTCCTTGGCTTGTAGAGGCATCACATCCTTCCTTTGCTCCATCATCATGTGGCCTTCTCTTCCCTGTGTCTCAGCATCTCCCTCTCTTTTTTCTACAAAAGACACCAGTCATTGGATTTAGGGCCCACCTATTCCAGTATGTTTTCATTTTAACTACTGCCATTTGCAAACACTTTATTCTCAAATAAGATCACATTCGAGGTTCTGGATAGATATGAATTTCGAGGGAACACTATTGAAAGTGGTACTGGTGCCTCGCTTTAAATGATCTTTGCTAACATTTTCATATCCCTTGATTTAAGGGGAAAAAAAGGTATTCCTAAAGTTTTTTTGTTTTGTTTTGTTTTTGTTTTTTTTAAATATTGACTTTTTTTTTTTTAAAGATTTTATTTATTTGTCAGAGAGAGAGAGTACACACAAGCAGGCAGAGAGGCAGGCAGAGAGAGAGGAGGAAGCAGGCTCCCTGCCAAGCAAGGAGCCCAATGCAGGACTCGATCCCAGGACCCCAGGATCATGACCTGAGCTGAAGGCAGCGGCTTAACCAACTGAGCCACCCAGGCATCCCGGTATTCCTAAAGTTTTTAAAGTAACATCATATTATGACAAAATTTAACCAAATAAAAGATACCAACTTATAATCCCACCATCTCATAGTAACTATGTTTATCAGTTTTATTCCCTTTTAGCCTGTTTCTCTAAACTTTTTATCACATTTGTCATCTTAACATGATGTTTGTATCATGCTTTTTCTTTATCTCAATATTAGATCATGAAGTCTTTCTATGCTGCTGGGTGATCTAGAGACCATATTCTCCTTACTGATTATAACATAGCCCATAATATAAAACTTTTATGTTATTGTGGGGTATATTGGATACTTCTATTTTCTTTTTTTTTTAAAGATTTTTTATTTATTTATTTGACAGACAGTTGTCTCAAGTAGGCAGAGAGGCAGGCAGAGAGAGAGGAGGAAGCAGGCTCCCTGCTGAGCAGAGAGCCCGATGTGGGACTCAGTCCTTCCACCCTGAGATCATGACCTGAGCCGAAGGCAGAGGCTTAACCCACTGAGCCACCCCGGTGCCCCTGGATACTTCTGTTTTCAATAATCTAAGTGTTACATATTTTTCATTATAAAAATCTTCCTGACTGTGCTCTGAATCTTCTTTAAACCCACCTTCTCAAGGATTTCACATTTTTTTGCTCAACTCTTCTCTCGCCATATCTATGACCTTTGGCCCTTTATTGGAAGAGTCAAAAACTGGAAGGGTCTGTTTCCATCCACATTCAACTATGATCAAGACTTTTTAACTTTGTGTACACTCCCTCTTGATAGCATGCCTCTCCTCCTACTGTCTTATCTTCCTTCAAATATCTTGAAATTTTGGATCTTGAAATGGTGACATTTGCTTTCTTACCATCCTCATCTCCCACCTTTCCTTTGTGTGTGTTTGTGTGAGAGAGAGATAGAGAAGAGAGCTAGGGGAGTGGAGATGATACATATATATGTACAAATGTCAAACTAAGCATTCCTAGGATAAAATCTGGTTGATAATAGTAGAATATTTTATTGTGGGATTTGATTTGTTAGTGTTTTGTTAAGACTTCTACATCCGTATTTACAGAGCTATTTACCTATAATTATTTCCTTACAATGTTATTATCAGGCTTGGGTATCATATGAGTTGGGGAGTATCTCTTCCTCTTTTTTTCTAAAAGTTTGTTTGGTATGAAACCAGAAGTTTGGTATCAATTTTTTTTTTCCTTAATTGAGAGAATTCACTAGTGAAATCAATGTGGAATTTTCTTTGTGAAGAGATACTTGACAGTAAATTTTATTTTTGGATACATATTTTGGTATTCAGATTCCCGGTTTCATCAATTGGGTAATTTATGTCTATTAAGAAATTTGTCCATTTCATCTAAGATTTTGAATTTATAAATGGGAGGTTGTGATATTTTTTATCCTTTTGATGACAGTGGGATTATCATAACATTCCATCTTTTATTTCTAATAAAAAGTTTATATTTTCTGTCTTCCTTGTTAAATCTTGATAGGCATTATCCAGTTTTATTAAACTTTTCTAACTTTTCTAACCAACTTTGACTTTGTTAATTTTCACTATTGTTTGTTTCTAATTTCACTGATTTTCACTTATTACTTTCTTTGGGTTTAATTTACTTACACCCTTAAGTTAGAAAATGGGTTCATTCATTTTAAGCCTTTTATCCTTTCTATTAAAACCATTGACAACTATAAATTTCCCTCTCTGCACTGCTTTAGGAGCACCCCATTTTTTTTTAATTTTTTATTTCTTTTCAGCGTAACAGTATTCATTGTTTTTGCACCACACCCAATGCTCCATGCAATCCGTGCCCTCTCTAATACCCACCACCTGGTTCCCCCAACCTCCCATCCCCCGCCCCTTCAAAACCCTCAGATTGTTTTTCAGAGTCCATAGTCTCTCATGGTTCACCTCCCCTTCCAATTTCCCCCAACTCCCTTCTCCTCTCTAACTCCCCTTGTCCTCCATGCTATTTGTTATGCTCCGCATATAAGTGAAACCATGTGATAATTGACTCTCTCTGCTTGACTTATTTCACTCAGCATAATCTCTTCCAGTCCCGTCCATGTTGCTACAAAAATTCATCCTTTCTGATGGAGGCATAATACTCCATAGTGTATATGGACCACATCTCTTTTATCCATTCGTCCATTGAAGGGCATCTTGGTTCTTTCCACAGTTTGGCGACTGTGGCCATTGCTGCTATAAACATTGGGGTACAGATGATCCTTCTTTTCACTACATCTGTATCTTTGGGGTAAATATCCAGTAGAGGAGCACCCCATTTTTTGATGCCTTTCATTTTCACTCTCATTTCTTTAAATATATTTTCTTTAAATGTATTTTCTAATTTCCTTTTTGACTGGTTATTTTGTGGTGATTAGTTTTATTTTCAAATATTTGGATCTTCTCTAGATGTAATTTTGTATTGATTTGTAATTTGATTTTGTTATGAGCAGAGAATATATTTTACATGATTTCACATTTAAAAAATTTCTTTAGGTTTTTTTTTATGGCTCAGCCTAAGTGTATCTTATGAAAGTTCAGTTTGCATTTATAGACAACGTAATTTTTGCAGACGTTGGGTGTAATGTTCTATAACTTCAGTTTGCTCAAGGTGGCTGGTAATGTCTCTGAAATCTTCTCCATCCTCACTGTTTTTGTGTCTAGTTGTTTTACCAAATATTGACTAAGGGGTGTTGAAATCTCCAGTTATGTTTGTGAATGTGTCTCCACTTCCCGTTGGTTCTGTCAGTGTTTTATGACTCTGTTATTAGACACATAGACATTTATTATCATTATGTCTCAACCCTATTTACATTATGAAATGTTTCTACCCCTGGTAATACTTCTTCTTATCTTGCAGCTTGCTTAGTCTGATATCTCAGCTTTCTTATTACTAGTATTTGCATGGTGTACCTTTTCCTATCATTCTCTTCAAACTATTTGTGCCTTTCTTTTTTATTTAATTTTTTATAATAAGACTTTTGTAATAATTATTTGGTATTACTTTTTTTTTTTAATCAAGTCTGACAGTCTACTTTTTAATTCCATTCCATTTGTGAGTATATAGTCCATTTACTTTTAATTTGGGACTGATTTGTTGCTGTGGGATTTCTGTTTATTTCATTTTATTTAGTTGATTTATTGTTCCTCTATAATGTTTTCCCTGCCCTTTTTTTTTTTTTTTTGAGAGTTAACCACATGGATTTTAGTTTCCAATTTTGATTCCTCTGTTGCCTTTTTAGCTGTACTTATTTGTGTTATATTTTTAGTAGTTGCTCTGTGGATTACAAGATGCAGCTATGAATTATCAGTCTACTTAGATATTACACTATTTCATATTTAATATAGAAATCTTGTGATAGTGTAGTTCCATATATTCCCTCATCCATCCTGCTATTGTTGTCATATTATACTACATTTATATATGATATAATCCTCACAATTCAGTGTTACAATTTCTCTTTAAACAAAATTTTTTGTCTTCCACTTCTAAAAAATTAAAAGAATAAATATTTATAGTTTTCTTAAATTATATATAACATTTCTGAGGATCTTTATTCCTTCCTGTAAGCCCAAATTACCTTCTAGTATTATTTCCCTTGAATTTTAAGAACTTATTTTTGTTTCGCTAGTGATGGTTTCTTCAGTCTTACTTACCTAAAAAATATTTATTTCATTTTCATTTTTGAAGAATGGTTAGCTGAATATATGCTTCGGGGCCAACAGTTCCCTTCTCATCCTCGCAACTCTTTATAGGTTTCCATTGTTCCTGGCCTGTATTATTTCTGGTGAGAAATCAGTGATAATTCATTTTGTTGCCTTCCTAAATATGTCTTGTTTTTTTTTTTTTTTTTCTGGCTGCTTTTCAAGATTTTTTTTTTAATTTTGTATTACAGCATTTGACTACAGAGTAACTAGATGTGTGTGTTTTTAAAAAGTATTTGCTTGGGTTTCTTTGAGTTCTCAGGATCTATAAGCTGGTACTTTCTAAGAAAATGGGAAGTTTTAAAATATTTTTCCCTGCCCTAGTTTTCTTTTCTCTTCTTTTAGTACTGAAATCTTTGGTATGTCTCATCTAATCTCTAAAATTCTGTTTATGTTTCTTCAGTCTTTATTCCCTTTGTTTTTCAGATTGAATAATTTGTATTGCTCTGTCATCAAGTTCACGGCCATGTTCTGCCATCTTGATCTGCTGTTATCTATCCAGCAAATTTCTTATTTCAGTATTGTAGTGTCCAACTGTATAATGTCCATTGGTATTTTTATATTTCTAGTATCTTTAAGATCCCATTTGTGTCAGCCTCCATGCGTGCATTTCCTCTAAATGCTTGAACATATTTATAATGCCTACTTTAAAGGTTAATTGTAATATATGGGTCATCTCTAGGTTGGTTTCCAAGGACTGTTCTTGTGGTTTTTGTTTTTATTTTCATGAGTATGTGCCACCATTTTCCATTTCTTTATCTATTTGGTAACTTTTTGATTGAATACAGGACATTGTGAATGATTATGTTATAGAGATTCTAGATTTGTTATGTTCCTCTGAATAATGTTTTAGTATATGGATATTGTGGCTGAACTCAAATTCCCAACTGTCTCCCTTGCTGCAGATACCAATGGAAATCTCTGCTTAGTTCTTTCAATTTGTAACTACTGTGATTTTATAGGATCTTCTCTGATGTCTTTTCTATGCCATGCATAGATGAGCAAAGAATTTTGAGTGAATTTTATATGAAGATTTTGGGGTTCATGCCTACTGCAGCTCTTCCTCAAACTTACTGGCTGATCTTCTAGTCCTAGACTCTATCCTCTGCTCCCTTAAGCTAGCCCAGTAAGGCTGTAACCTTGTACCACTTGAGCTGCACAGATGGGTGAACTCACTCAGACATAAAGCTACTAACTTGCCAGTCTTCTCTGCAAAATTTTGTCTCTCGAGGTAGATTCCTGTGTTTAATCCCTTTTGTCATCTTCCTAGTTGGTTTCTATTTACTGCTTTTAACAAATAATTGTCTTTGTACCATAAAATATTGTGGAAATAAAACATAGAATTTATTATTTATACAACAAAGTCAAACTTCTTACAGTGTGATACCATCAACTTTTGGCTAGATTACTATTCTCTAAAGAGATGTGTAGTTCAGACACACAATTATTTCATTTCAGATATAATTTTCAGAATTTTGAGGAAAACTCAAGTGCATGAAATCTATACTATTTCTATCTAAATATTTGGTAGTATCTGTTTACTTGGTTTTACAAATTGCTTTCATTTGCCAAATAGTAATATTTGACACCAAGGGTTTTTGCCTACTGTCTCCTTTATGCTTTCTTAGAAATAAGAATTAGAGAAAAAGATATCACATCTTCATCTCAAATATTTATGAGATTTGATTTGAGAGCAAGAGTTTTGAAAATCACTGAAAACAAGTATCGAGATGCTGGCTCAAGAACTAGAATAGCTCTTTAGTGACCCCTTTTAATGATCAAGCCATCAAGTCTTACAAGTAAAGCATGTTAGCCTCCATAGGCTTAATGCTTTTGGTGTTACAGCAAACTCCTAATAATGATGATTTCAGACTTATAAAATAGTCTTAATAATGCTGTTGCCCTACCACAAATCTTAAGAACTAAACCTACATAGTAAATTCTTTCTTTCTTTCTTTCTTTTTTTTTTAAACAGGATCCATGTTTAACAAGTTTATCATCGTCGTCCCTTAAAGAAAGTCTTGGAGATTCCTTTTCACCAGGATCTGGAGGAAAAGCATCCATAAAAGGTGGTTGTATCAAATTATTACATCTTAGTTTATGTGTGAACTCTGTACTGCTTAGAATCCTATTTGTAAAAGTAAGAATACATAGTTATAGGAATGACAGGCTTGTATTTGCCTCAAATTGTGTTATTTACTAACCATGTGATTTTAGATGCAGAACTAGACACAGTTCCAAGAGTAAAGTAACTAATCTCTCTGGCCCTGTATACTGATCTTATAATGGGGATCATAAGAGCAACCTACCCGACACAGTGGCCATCAGAACTAAATGGGTTAATGATACATGTAAAGCACAGGGAACAGTGTCATGGTAAGCATGCAGTAAGTGTGAGGGGTGATATATTTCTTTCCTTAGTCCTATGACTTAGAGCTTCATGAGAGCTAAAAAGGCATCGCTGTTTCTAGGACCAAGATGTGTAACATTTATTAAGTGCTTGCTGTGTAGTATAGTTTTTGTCATTTTACAGATGAGAAAAACTGAAGTGCAGAGATATTGAGAAACATACCCAAGGTCAGTAACGGAGCTGTAATTTGAATTTTTGGCTCCATAGTCGTTCTTTTTACTGAACACATTGATTAGCAGCTCTAAAGAATCCACTGATGGTACTTGGAGTCATGAGTGCTCTCCAGATGAACAGGTCTAACTCTATTACAAGATTATCTTAACTCCTGCTTACTGCAAAGCAGGTTTCAAAGATGGCTTTAATGAAAGCAGCAGAATTAAGACTTTGACAATAAAGAGACAAGGTTGGCCAGTAGGTGGCTCCGAGTAGAGCTGAGAGTTGGTGATTGATTTCTTTCTGTTGAACATTCCAAAGTGGGGCAGACAGAATAACAGAAGCAGTTCTGTGATAGCAAAATGGAATCTTCTCATGCCAGAGCCTGAGACTGACCTTTGGAGCACAGAAAGGATAAGCAGCAGGCTCACCTTTAGTGCCTGTTAATAAAGGCAGGCATCTTGGCAGGGATAAAGCTGTCTGGAGGATGGCTTTATTTGGTGTGATGAGTCTTCTGAAAGTGCATGGGTTCTTGGTTCCCCTACACCTATACAAGTTTACAGCGGTACTGATTGTGCCTCTGGTAACATAGAGATGTGTGCCTCCAGCTTACATAGCCTCTTGTCCCAGCTAAGAAGGCCAGACTTTGAATAGAATAGATATTGCCGGCCTACTTACTTGGTTTATCATCAACAGGAGCTTTTGGTGTGTCTTTTGCTTTAGGATAGTTATTCCATTTTTTTTACTCATATATTTTTTTCTAAGGGTTAGGTATGTCAAGTGTTTTTGTAGATTGAGTAGCCATTTTCTCTTTCATAGATCACTTTGGAGAAAAGTTTATTCAGGTTGAATACAATAGCTCTCCTTTATTGTATTCTGCAAGACAAAGAGTTTGTAAACACTCCTTTTAGTAGAAAGCAAATGAATCTGTTAATAGTTTGGAAGGGAGTTTTAGTTTTGTGACTCTGTCTCAAAATAGATCAAAATGAAGAACTCCCTGAAAACCACATGAGATCAAATGAAAATGAAGAGAATTCATTTTTGATAGACTTTGTCACTCCTCCAATTGAGAAATCCCAGGAAAGTCAAGTGATAACTGATGACCTTGAAGAAGAAAAGGAGAAAGCTGAACTGATGATGAATGACTTAACAGTTGATCCACCATTGTTGAAAGCTCAGAGTATCTTAGTATCTACTGATGCAACGGAGCCTTCAAAGGTATTTATATGAAATTATGTCTTTTATACTACAGTTTAAAACTCAAAATAGACCTTTTAAATATTTTATCTGCCACATTATGTACTTCTGAATTGTCTGTGGAAAACTCATCTTTTGATAATGACATATTGTCAGGTAGACAATAGAGTCAGTAGAGTTTTACTTCAGGGAAGGTTTACAGTGACTATAATAAAAGTATTTTCTTAAAAATTATCAAAGGCATATGATCATAATATACTCTTAAATATCTCAGAAATACAAACCCATAAGTGGGTAGGTTTCTATAGGTCTCCGTATTATAAAAATATAGCTATCTGGAATAACTTCTGAGGTTTTGAATTAGTGAAAGTTATTCTTTTAGGTATCATTTTTAAACATTTTACAAATTTTAAGGAAAATCCTTAAGACATGTTATCACCATCTTGCTTACTTAAAAGGATGGACAGGATTATTATCACAAACATTATTATTACTATTATTACCTTGAGAACCAGATTTTTGGTGTGTAGGATTACTTGTCAATGTACTATAATGTGCCAGGAAACTGTAGTCTTTTTAAATTTATGGTACAGCACTTTTAGTCTTTATTCCTCTTGAATTTAGTCTTTATTCCTTATAGCTATAGTTAGCTGGTGGCTATGTATACCTAATCTTGGGGAAGGTAACAGTGCTAGTTGAAAATCTGTGGTTGAGGAGGACTTTTATAATACAGAATATTAGTGCTTTGTATTATAATTTATGGAGATGGTTCATTAAACCATGCTACAGTTATATTGTTCCTAACCACTTTCTTCAGGAAAAGTCACTTATGCCAAGTTAGTGATGTGCTTACATCTGTGGTCTCACTTCACTGATCTGTCTGTGTAAAGTAGAGAAGTTACTCCTTAAAAAGAAAAAGCATATTCTGGAACTTACAGACAGGACCCTAGAAATGTCTAATAGCAGCAATTCTCAATAACAACAGGCAATTTTGTATAAAAAGTAAGAGCATAACATTCCGTTTGATTGAATCCTTGGCTTTATCCTTACTCTGTCCTGAGGGATCTTCCTCAAGTCTAAATCACATCACTTCCCTGCTAAGGTCTCGATTGGATTGTCATCAGAAGAATAAAATGCAAACTCCTTCCCACATCCTCACGACCTCACACCATTCTTCTCTGACTATATATTCATCCACTCTCACTGCCATTCGCTGTGCATTGGCGTCATTCACTTTCTGTTTCTCAAAATTATCAAGCTCTTTCCCTTCTCAGGCTCTTAGTACTTACTGCTTCTTTCTTCCCACAGACCTTCCTTCATGCGGGCCCCCTTTTCCCCATGATTTTTCTTAACACTGCTGTCAAGACCTCAGGGAGGCCAGGGGCACCTGGGTGGCTCAGTGGGTTAAGCCTCTGGCTTCGGCTCAGGTCATGATCTCAGGGTCCTGGGATCGAGCTCCGCATCAGGCTCTCTTCTCTGCTCAGCAGAGAGCCTCCTTTTCCCCCTCTCTCTGCCTGCCTCTCTGCCCACTTGTGATCTCTGTCTGTCAAATAAATAAATAATTTAAAAAAAAAAAAAAAAAGACCTCACGGAGGCCTTTCCTGGTCATTGTCATTAACATAACCCCTCATCCTAGTCACACTCACTGGACCCTAGTTTATCTCCACCATGACTCACATTTGGTTTTGTGTTTCATGTCCGTCAACCCTTTCTAAAATGTGGTATCCTTATTAGTTTCCAGTAGCTGCTGTACTTGACACATAGTAGATGCTCTAAAAGCATTGATTTCCTGGCCTCTAGGTAGGTAACTATGACAGTTACAGTGAGTAATCCATCTGTGGTATTTTCTCTTTAATAGAAAACAATTGAAGATAGGAATATGAAGACTAAAAAGTCAACAAATACTAGAGCCTCCAGTGCATCTGGCAGGTAATAAAGCTGTCGTTATCCCTCATTAATGAGTGTACATTCCAATGAAGCTAGTTTTAATTTAACTTCTGTAAAGTGAATTTCATTTGATATTATTTGATTTTCTTTAAACTCCCATCTCATGAACTGAATGAGGTCATTACTTCGTGATAAAACTCCTCAGTTGATCATATTCTTTTATGAAAAGGAGTTGGTTAGGTGTTCTCTATGCTCTGCATTGTTCCTAGGATGGAGTTTCTGTCCTGTTTTTCCTGAGACAGTACATATCAGTAATAAAGCTGAAGTCCAACATTATACTTCTTTATTAAACACCTTTGTCCCACACATGAAAATTGTACTTAAAACCTCGAGGTTCTGTGGACTAAGTTGGTTTCTTGAGATGAGAAGACTCCATATTGTTTCATTCACACTGATGACAACGAATGCCTAACTCATAAATGATAATCAGAACCTTCTCAGTCTTTTCAATTACCATAAATCAAATAAAACTAGAGTCTGCAAACTTTAACTGTAAATTGCCAGTTAGTACATGTGTTGGACTCTGTAGGCCGTATGGTCTCCGTTGTAGCTACTCAGTTCTGCTGGTGTAGCAGGGGAATAGTTGTGGTGCAGTAAACTTAAGAAATAAATAGACTGTACCAAACTGGATCATGGGTCATATTTTCCTGCCAACCCCTGAAATAGAGGATGCTGTTCTAACTTTATATTTAGAGTTGTTTATTGTAACAAAATGATACAAGAGACTTAAAATCTACTTTATTAATACTTTTATTTCCGTGTAACTTGAGATGTAGTCCATTTTTCTTGAAAATGTTCTAATTATAAATATCTTGAAAGAGCATCCATTTGAAGCTCTTAGTAGATGAAGAAAAAACTATCATTATTTTCCTATTTTATCATCACTTTCAAAATACTTATAATTTATTAATTTACAATATAATTTCAAATGTAGTAGTTGTGAATTCTAGTGAATTTTTCTTCTTCCAAGTATAACTAATATTTTCTGTTGATTTATTTGGATCTTTTCAGATTAATGACCCCTGAGTTCTTAAAGAAATCTAATTCTGTAAGGAGACCTCCGTCAACAACTACCTCTTCTCACTATTTAGGGACTTTGAAAGTCTTGGACCAAAAGCCCTTACAGAAACAGAACATAGAACCTGAAAGAGCAGACAGCATAAGGGCAGCTGTTTATCAGGTAAAAAGGAAAACGTATAACAAAAAATGAAGAACTGATCACGTAATAAGATTACCTGTTTACCAAGGAATGAAAAGAACCTATCAGAAATGATGGCTTAATACTTAATTTACTAGGAAAGATGTTCTTTTATAATACCTGAGCAACCCAGAGGTTTTTTTTGTTTTACTAGAATACTTCCTTCCAAGCTTTGCTGAACCGATCATGGTTGTTTAAGAGAATATGCCATAGCAACTTATGAAAATACGATAAAAGCAAAAATACTGTTAAGGTCTATACATGTTTTTATACTTTTTCTCCTTAAAATGTATATTGTTAAGAACACAAAGAGTTTTAATTTTTTCCTGAGACTTTGCATTAAGCTTACACAGAACAAGACTTTTCCTGATTTTTTTTTCACAGTTCCCAAAGACATCCTTTTTTTTTTTTTTTTTTTTGTCTTGTTTGTTTTACAAAATAGTACACTTTAGAAAATTATACTTGTAAATTTTGGAGAAAAATGTTAATTTATGTAGCCATTATGTTCAATCTTCAAAGTCTGTTAAAACTAAGATAAGTTTTATTTTCTTAACTCATCTTTATATATTAGAATATTATCAGAAAAAGAAAAGTGATATTGGTTTATATAGAATTTCTACATTTTGTATTTTGCTTTTTTAAAATTTCTTAGGTGCTCGTGTGGCTCAGTTGGTTAAGTGTTTGCCTTCAGTTCAGGTCATAATCGAGTCCCACATCAGGCTCCCTGCTCAGTGGGGCGTCTGCTTCTCCCTCTGTCCCTCCCCCCTGCTTGTTTTCTCTCTCTCTCTTTCACTCCCTCTCCCATTTTCAAATAAATAAAATCGTAAAATAAAATTTCTATCAAATATTTCAGAAATGAATAAGAATTCTGAGTCATTTGGGAAACTGAATATTATATACTTTTTTCTTGTTTTCACAGGAGTGGTTAGAAAAGAAAAATGTGTATTTACATGAAATGCACAGAATTAAAAGGATCGAAAGTGAAAACTTAAGGATCCAAAATGAACAGGTATTCTGAAATATAGAAATGGAAAATATTCTGGGTTTTTAAGTTAGTAAAATATCTCTGAGTAACATTTCTAAATCCACTGTTTTTTAAATGGCAAAATAACATGGATATATAAGAATTGATTATTGGTTTTATTTCTCTGGCACTTCATACATTTTTAGTTTGATATAAATATAACCATCTCACATGAAAACAGATATGCAGAGATTTCTGATTTTTGTATGTGTGGAATATATTCGACACTACTGATTTAGGAACTTACTATTACTTGTGACTACCTTCTCACTCTTATTTACTTACCTTTTCACTGTTAAAAATTGACTTCAGTCTTACAACTTAGCCAGGAACATAAAGGATCAGCAGATATGAACCTCCATTTTTCCTCTTTTCCATCTTGAATTTTACATGTGTCCTTAAGACTAACACCTATGGAGGGGTGCCTGGGTGGCTCAGTGGGTTAAAGCCTCTGCCTTGGGCTCAGGTCATGATCTCAGGGTCCTGGGATCGAGCCCCACATTGGGCTCTCTGCTTAGCAGGAAACCTACGTCCCTCTTTCTTTCTCTCCCTACTTGTGATCTCTGTCTGTCAAATAAATAAATAAAATCTTTAAAAAAAAAAAGAAAAAGACTAACGCCTTTGGGGGAAAAAAAATACTAACGCCCATGTGAGCTCTTGACTGGTATCCTTCCCACTTACTAGAGGTGGACTCTTATTTTACTCTGGCCTGTACTTCAGTCTCTACCTCTAACTCCTGCTGGTGGTCCATAACATGCTTAGTTCCCTCCCGACTTCTGAGTTAGAAGCCCTTCCCTCTGCTGTCCAGTAGTAAAGGGATTCAGAAGGAAACCGGGTTCCCCAATGCCTGGTACTGCATGGAGAAGCATGCAGGGGTGTGCCTGCATCCCCATCAGCAGTTCTGCGGCCTTAGATGGCTGAGCTCCGAGCCTGACACCTTCTCCTGTCATCGTCCATCACAACTCGCTGAGGTGGCTTGTACCTTTACTTCTAAAGTGTGTTTTTTTATAAGACTTCATGTCGTTTAGCATTAAGCAATAAGGCAGAGAATATAATGGGTTTAGATGGAGGTAAGTCAAGTAATAACATACTTACCATACCCTCATCTACATTTTTCTCAGTTTGGCACCGAGTTTCAGCATCCCGGCTGTGTTTATTTCGTAACAGTTTTATGCTTTGATGTCAGTCAAAATTCAGGTTCAAAGCAAAGATCCAGGGCTTTCTGCAGGACTTGGCCAGTTGAGTTCACTCTTACTTTATAAGCCTGAAACTTCCCTGATATTTTCCTTGTAATGGAATGTTTTATTCTGAGCATTTTGCAGTAGCACTCAGGCCATTATAGTTCATTTTGATAACGTTTGTTTAGTAGGCTTCCAAAAAAGAGTTCTTTCCCATGAATAGCAGATCAGTATCTAATAAACGGGTTTAGAAAAGGACATTTTAAACTGCAATGAATAATTCCGATAATACTTTTTTTCTAAATCCACTTGTCTCAACCATTCTAAAAAAATTACCTGCCCTGAACAACAAAGTCTAGAAATGACGATGATGAAGGGAATTCAACACAATCTGTATGTGTCTGTATCTGCCGCTGTCTGTCCACTTGTTTATATGTCTGTCTCTTATTTTTTGAAACAGAAAAGAGCTGCTAAGCGAGAAGAAGCATTAGCATCCTTTGAGGCCTGGAAGGCTATGAAAGAAAAGGAAGCAAAGAAAATAGCTGCCCAAAAAAGGCTTGAGGCCAAAAACAAGAAGAAAACAGAGGAAGAAAATGCCGTGAGAAAGGAAGAAGCACTGCAGGTACTCGGCGGCATGATTTTGCCTTCTCTGACTACTGGAGATTAGTGACTAGCTCTGGCTCTCCTTATTGATCATTTTCACGGTTAATAAGAAAATCATTGTGTACTTTTTCAGGCCTTTGAACGATGGAAAGAGAAAAAGATGGAATATCTTAGAGAGAAAAATAAAAAGGAGAGAGAATATGAAAGAGCAAAGAAGCAGAAAGAGGAGGAGACGATTGCTGAGAAAAGGAAAGATAACCTAACCGCTGTTGAGAAATGGTAATCCCAAATGAGAGCTATTTGATAGTTTCCAAGTGAATAACACTTTAAGGCTCTTGAAAAGGTTATTTGCTTGAAATTTACTAAAGCATTGCCATCTCATTATTGCAAAGCTATATTCAGGAATCTTTATTCCATCCTCCCCTTTAACCATCCAGTGTTCTGTAATATCCTACATAGGAATGAAAAGAAGGATGCTTTTTTCAAAGAAAAGGAGAAAGAGAAAATAAATGAGAAAAGAAGAGAAGAACTGAAAAGAGCAGAGAAAAAAGATAAAGATAAGCAAGCTATTGATGAATATGAAAAATGGCTGGTAGGTATTGTCTGTTAATGCACTTGTGTCTTGTGAATGCACTTTATTCGTGACTTTTCCATCCAGTTCTTTTTGTCTCTGCCTACTGACCATTTTTACCTGAAGCTGCCTTGTGGAATCTTGTTCTCTCCCTGTGTCCATCCTATTGTCTTCGATTTACTCATTTCTGTTGATGCTAAACTCTTTCCTCAAGCACTCAAATGTCAGGCAGAATATTCTTCGTTATCTGCATCCTGACATTCATTTACTTACCAATCACGCCTGTTCTTCCTTTGCAATGACTGTTACGTCTGAAATCATGGAGAGCTGACAAGTGCATTGCTGACGGTATGCCAGGCTATTTTAGGTGGGACTCGTCATGACACATAGTAATACAGGATTGAATAGTGAGAAAGTTACTCCATTTTTTAAATTCTCTTTTGATCTTTCTAATGACCTCAAGGAGAAGGTTTCATTTTGGTGTTTTTTAATGAAAGAAAGTAAGTAGAAAGTGTGGGAGGAAAATGTCTAGCTGGACTTAACATTATTTTGTTTTTTGTATTTTTTGTTTGTTTTAATGTACTTATGTTTATGGTCACTTTTCATTGATGTTAAGCAAAATACCATTTTCTGGCTTAAAATATCATTATAAATATGCATGTTTATCAATATTTGGCTAAGAATGCATTCCTATGAATAAGTACTTTATATATGAATTGGTGACACATTCATATGAGTGGTTAGCACGTCCCATGTTGCAGCAACCAAAACGTGTAAAATTGCTCCGCTGGGTTTGGGATCCAGTAGGGTTTCTTTCCAGTAGGAATGGTTGTCTACCTTTTTTTTTTTTTAATCCACATCCATCTGCTAGTTAAAAATATCATCCAGGGAATTTTGTGGTTGTATTTCTCTGGTTAGGACTGAACGTGAGCAGCTTTTCATTTGTATAAGGGCCTTTTATAATTTTTTGTGGAAACTGTTAATTCATAGACTTTCCACATTTTTCTGTTGGTCTTTTTCTTCTTGATTTTTAGAAGCTTGTTTAAGTATTAGGGAAATTAACCCATCATTTCTGGTAGGAGTTACAACTACTTTTTCCCCATTGTTTTGTTGGTTTCTAAGCTTTGCATATAGTATTTTATGTCATGAAGAACTGATTTTTATTTTCTGGTGTCAAATATATCAATCTTTTAGGTTCTGATTTTCAAGCATAATTGAAAAGGCTTTCTTTATAACTTGAGGCTAAAAGAAGTACTCCCATTTTTCTTCTAATAACTTTATAATTTTAATATCTTGACATTTTAACATTTGATCAGCTTGTAATTTACCTTGATAATAGTGGGGTATATGATTCTGATGTTATTTTTTCCAAATGCATCTCCTATGAAATAGCCTATCTTTTATTTTATATTTTTATTAAAGAAATACATTTTTTATTTTAAATTTTTATTAAAAAATTATATATTTTATATAAAAGATATTTTATATCTTTTATTCATTGATTTGAGGTACTGCCTTTATTATATGATACCTTCCCAGATTTTAGGGTCAATTTCTTGACTTTCTGTCCCATTGGTCAATATCAAATCTCATGGTACATATTCCAGCACTGTACTGTCTCATTATCAGGGCTTCATATGTTTTCGTATCTGTTTTGGTTAATCTTTCTTCCTAGCATGTCTTTCAAAGTATTTCTGACTGTTACTGTTTACTTTTTCACATCAGCTTTAGAACCAACAGTAGCTAGAGAGGCATGCAGGACACAAAGCAGTCTATTTAAAGATAGGGTAAAAAGATGAAGCACTTAGGAATAAACTTAAGAAATGTACAAGACCACTATGAAGAAAATTTTAGAATACTCCTGCCGGACACAAATAAAGACTTGAGAACATGGATCCAAACTGCTCTTGGATAGAAACACTCAGTCTTAAAATGACGTTATAGATGTCCGTGCTTCCTAAAGTAGTTTACAAATGTAATGCAATCCTAATAAATAGGACAAAAGAATTTCTTCTTGTTTATGTATTGATTTTAGTGCTACTTTATGCTAAGTCCATGCAGAAAAACAGTAAGAAAAAAAAGTGATCAGAATTGGTTGGATGGTTTGAATGAAAAAGGTAGTGTTTCATGATGGCTTCCTTAAACTCTTAAATAGTCCTTGGTTCAAGAAAAATTAAAACTCGGGGCACCTGGGTGGCTCAGTGGGTTAAGCCTCTGCCTTCAGCTCGGGTCATGATCTTGGAGTCCTGGGATCGAGCCCCGCACTGGACTCTCTGCTCAGCAGGGAGCCTGCTTCTCCCTCTCTCTCTGCCTGCCTCTCTGCCTACTTGTGATCTCTCTCTCTGTCCAATAAATATATAAAATTTAAAAAAAAAGAAAAATTAAAACTTCTTCTATCAAGGAAGCATATACCAACTGTGCTATATCACTTAGGGCAACTAAATTGACATTTTTTCAGTTTTATTTTCACATACTTTTGATGATGGGAATAGAATTTTCTTAATGACTAAGTCACTGTTAGGTACATTATGTTTTATTACAGTATTTGGCCACTTTCTTATTCTAATCAGTCCTCTGGAGAACAAAAACTTATCAAAGATGAAAATAACTTGTTTTGATATGTAGTACAACCTTGACAAATATCATGCTACTTATAAAAACATCCAGTCACATTACAGATCTAGTCCTCCAACTTGCCAATTTCTTATTGCAGTTTGTTTCTAGAAAGAATGGAAAAATACTCCCATATGGAAATCTAAGAACTTCAACTTTAATGTAAAGTTAAACATCTCAAACTTTTGTTATAAAACCTGCTTTAAGTAATGAGCATTGGATGGGTTATCGTTTTAGGGGAAAGTTATAGTCAAAGATCAGTAAGACTCTCTTCTTTATGCTGGTTCCCAGATTAATGAATAGTTACCATTAATAAGAAAATGAGTAAAAAATTCACACTCCAAAAAACAGTACTCAAAAGGACTGTTTAACAAGATTCATTTAATGATTACTCCAGATAACCTTTTTGATCATCTTAATCGATATTAAGGTTGATAATTAGTTGCCTGTTTCCTATTCTGGCTTTCTTAGCACCTACTTTTAAGAGCAGACTTGTTTCATGTTTCCCTCTCTCTCCCCATGTGAAATGGAATGGACAAAAAGAGGTATGTGCAGTCAGTTTCTGTGGACTCAGCCCCACACTGCTTTTCTGCTCCCTAGCTAGAGGGTGTGCCGCTCTCTAAGATACTTCAGTGTTTAACAGAGACCCAGTTACAGTTTTTTGTTGTTGTTGCTGTTTTTTTCTTAGTTAGGATTATGAAAGGAGAATCACTCTTTGCTTTAGTAGGAATAGCAAGCATGGGGCAAAATGTTAAGACAGTAAAAAAGAATTTCATACCTCTTTTCATTCCTTTTGTTGTATGTGAATAATTGTATGCTTATGGAAGCCTTGCATTATCGTATTCTTCTTGTGACACATCAATTCCATACACTTGCTGGTGAAAGGATCATAGACATCTCATAATGTACCAAGATGCTGCCCCTCCCAAGCCGTCCAGCCTGTAGAGGTGACACTATCTAAGCTTCCTGGGTATTACTGCTCTTTGAGAAAATCACCAGTATGAGGAAACCACCGAACTCTATAGTGCTAGCAGAGACTTGGAGAAATGAAGAGACAATCTGAGCTGCAGGATGAAAAAAGCTAGTGCTGCTAACATTTCAGGAATTCCTGGATTAATGTTTAATTTTCATAGTAATCCTCACATAGTCCTTTCTTTGAAGGGAGTGTGTGCACGGAAATAAAATGATTCTAAAATTCATCCAGCATAATAAAAATGGGAGACTATAGAAGGTAATATTTCCAAAATAAGATGAGGTAGAGGACTGTTTCTATCAAGCAATAAAGTATAAATTTACCGTCCTACTCTCCCATGAACCAGCATTCTCCTCTCCTGGATTTGTCCCATCACTTTCCAAGATGTATAATTCTTAATTCTTAATTCCTCATTTGCCTCCAGTTGTGGTTACACATCTCACTACCCCTTTTTAATAGCTAAACTTCTAAGGAAGTTTTATTTACACTCCATACCCTTTTCACCCTCAGCACACTCCAGCCTTGTCTCTTTTGCCATCACTATACTGAAACTATACTCCGAAAGTTAGTTTTGCCAAACCATCTAGCAATCCAATGTGTTGTTTGCTGCTGCATTCCCCAGACCTCTCAAACATTCTCCCTAGCCACTTTCATCTTCTGGCAACTGTCACCTACCCTGGGTACCTTGCTCCCCTGGTGTCTCTCATTTCTCTGCCTTTCTCCTCAATGGCACTTGTTGACTTCTCTTCTCTTACCTGTGTTCCGGATGTTACCATTGGCATGCAGGCCCCACACCACCTCACTCGCCCACCTTTCTTTTCTGGCACCTCCTCCTGTCTTCTGCCCAGTTTAGTCACACTGGCTATCACTGGCCCTCTTGTTTCCTCTCACATCCCACGTTTCTCCCACGTGTCCGAGCCCTCACACATACTACTTGCTCTGCTTGAAATGCTCTCTCCTCAGTGCGTCTCACAAGGGGCTTCTCTTATCTGGCTGGTCTCACTTTGAAATGACTTTCCCTGAATCCACTTTTCTTTGAAGTCACGCAGTCTGTTTTATTCTTTAGCAATCACAACAATTTTTTTTATATGTTCCATAGAAATTCTCACAATTTGAAATGATCTGTTGTTTGTTAACTGTCTGTTTTGAAAATCCCCTGAAGGACAAGGACCAAATTTGTGTTTGGATTTTAGAATCACGTTCTATGTGGTCCCCTGTAGTATACTGCTTGACCCAGAGTAGGATCTCGGTGCTCAACAGTTGGATGAATGAACACAAATCAAAGCAGTATAATACCAGTAAAATAATAGACACCCCCACCCAGGACCTCTTAGAACCTGTGACAAGGAAGGATGTGCTGCTGTATAATAAATAACACAAATTAATAGATGCAAGGAAACTGTAACTTGGCTTATTTGTGTGACATTTGGGCATGAGATCACTTCAGAGCAAAGCGAAAGCACCTAAGCATTAAATATAAAATGCCAAACAATAGAAGAACTGAAGGAAAACAAAACACTATCAAGTCTCACAGGGATAAGATGCTTTTCTAAACCGAGAAGTGCTATAGAAATAAAAAGGAAAACATGAACAGATACTGAATTTAAAATCATTAATGTGTTAACATAAAAAGTCCATGTAGGTTCTGCTTGGGGGGTAGATTCCTACAGCTGGTTTGGAAAATAAATCATTTCCCAGCAAATTAATACCAGCAATTTCACTCCTAGGTAGATACTTGGAGAGAAAATCTTGACTTAAAAGTACAAGGTATTAAACAGGGATGTTTACGAGGGGGAAAAAGAATCATGCTTTCAACAACACAAAAATAGGTTAAATGGTGATAAGTTGACATGCTGGAACTCTATGAATATTGTATGGAATATCAATGAACTAGAGCTGTAATTCACATAGGTGGTTCTTAGAAATATTAAGATGGATAAAAAAGGAAGCTGCAAAAGTACAGCATGTTACATTTTACTCTAATTATAAAAACATGCAAAACAAAATTACTTGTTTTGAGATTAATTCATTTATAGTACAAGTACTAAGAGATGCATGCGCCGAAGTGATAAGCATTAAGTTGAGAGTAATGGTTACCTCACTGGGGTGGAGAGGAAGCAGTATGATGGAGGAATGAACACAGAGACCTTCGAAAGTCCTTGTTTTTCTTCATAAGGCAGATGGTGGGCACATAAGTTTTGATTACATTACTCTTTAAACAATTGTCTCGGCTGAAATAGTTCATTTTTTTTTTTTTTTTTTGCTAAAAAGGACAGAGTAATGTAGGTAAAATGTGTGCTGCAAAGATAATATATATTATATGAAAATATACAAATTACTAAGCATTAAAACCATCGATACCTGTAGCCAGATAATTAAGCAAAAAAATTCACGAAAGGGCTAAAGAAAAATATAATATGCTCAAACTTAATAAGCAAAGAAACATGAGACTTAATGTTCAACTATTTATAAAAATTTTGAAGTGTCCCTGCTGGTCGTGGCATATTCAACCTTTGCACCCAGTAAATTAAGTTCTGAGATTCTGTTCTCATCACTAACTTCTCATAATTTTCTCTTTGAGTTATGGAATTAGAGGTCTTTTTCCCCCATTTTTCATAATTTTGTTTAAATATTATCACTTTAAATATTAAAAAATAAGTGATTAAGTGATGCATTAGTACCTATTGGTAATATACTTATAGATGAGCAATATACTCAGCCACTATTCCTTTATAACCAGTTAAATAGGAAGTGACATTTTAATGTCTTATAATAGATTACTTTGTTCTTTAGCAAGCAACTTGATTTGAAAATAATGTTCATATATGTATATAAATTTAAAGTTTTCTATTTTCTCTTTAGGAAAAGAAAGAAAGGCAGGAAAGAATCGAACGAAAACAAAAGAAGCGTCATCCCTTTCTGGAAAATGAGGCACTTCCTCCCTGGAGCCCTCCAAGCAGAACTGTATTCTCAAAAGTGTTCTGATACTTCTCATTTTTACATTATTTAGTTATCAATTCACCATTTTAGCTACTATTTATTCAATTAGTTATAGTTAGTAGAGTCTATTTTTATTAAATGCCAGCCATTTCCACTAACAATGGAAAAGATGCTTTGGAGTTTAATCAGTGAAATAATTGAAAGCTTTTTTTTTGGACTGTAGGTAAACTGCCTCAGATGAGAAGCTAATAATCAGATTGCTCTTACCATTCGAATGACCATCACGTCCTGACAGTCCTTACAATCAAATGATCCATGGTCACTTTCCCGAAGCTGTGCATGGTATTTAAGTGGGTTTATTCCTCAGAATAGGAAACCATCTAGGTACTATAATCATAGAAATTATGAATGAAATCTGTGAATGATTGTGCACCTAGATTCAGGTTTTAAAAGGAATCATATCTGGGGGTATGCATATATGTAAATATACATACATATATATATATATTTTTTTTAAACTGATCTTTAGCTCAAGCAGTTGCACTTGCACTGTGCAAGTTAGAGTTTCAGTCAGTTAAGGCAGTAGTTCAGTAGAACTCAAATCGTTGAGGCATTTTATTTCAAAAGTTTGCCTTATGTTTTAATATGAGTTTTATCTGTCCCACACTTAAGGTGACAATCGTAGGCACTTTTATAATGAGTAGACCTCTAAAATGTGTCTTCTAAGTTCTATCTCACTTTATTATTTCAGTGGTACCAAAAATATATCCATTTCTTGGTAGTGATATACTTAACGCAATAGTTATGGAAATTCCATGAGAGTTCAAGGTCATTATCACTGTTAATAATTTTTTCCAGACTAAAGCCATAAAGGTGATAAAGGTAATTTTCAATCTCTTAGCTTATTCCAGAGCCTTATAGTTTATATTTAGGAGACAGCTATATAGGAAGGCAATTTGTAGAAAATGCCCAAAGAATCTTTATTTATTTATTTGATCTCTGCATATCTTTAAATTAATTGGACTCATACTTGAACTGGTCAGCTGATTTATCACAGACCAAATGTATGCTCTCAGAGCTGCAGTACTACTTTAGCCAATGATGCAGCACAATGATGGATGAGAATAAATAATTACTATTTATTAAGCACCTAATGTATGCTTGCTGCTGGATCTTTACAGATGTCAATTCTTATCTTTAGAACAATTATTCAGTGTAGGTGTTATTTTGCAGATTAAAAAATACTGAGACTCGGAGAAATAACTTGCCGTACATTTAGCATGTGATTGAATCGGGATGAGAATTAAGTCTTTCTCCCTCCAGAATATATATTATATCAACTTTACAAACACATATCACCTCTGGGATCCTAAAATCATGTATTGTTATCTGAAGATTATCTTTCTTTTAAGAAATATCTGTTATTTAGAGATGTTGAACTTTATTAGATCTATAAAGTGGAAGAAGTTTCCATAATAGTTGAAGATTTAGTCAAATGCCATGTACCTAGCGTTAGAATGTCAGGAAAGCCAGCAGGTTGTGGAACAGAGGCTTTGAGATAGTCACTCAGGAAGTTTCAGAGGATTAACCTCATTGCGGTGCATGTGCAAAATAAGGGAAATACCGTGGGTCACTTTCTATGATCACATCAGTGCTATGAATAAATTGGTTTTAAAATTATAAACAAAACTAGAAGCACACTGCCAGGAACTAGGAGCATACTTCATGAAATTGAAACTGTTATCATCAGTACTATCAACATGGGATTTAGCTCATCTCTTTTTCACCAAATATATATATAGTGCCTACCAGAATGAATCGTTGTTTTTGATATCCAATTAACTATTCACAGCTATAAAGGAATTTGCAAATTCCAGGGAAGTAAAAGGAAAAAAAGATCAGGGATATGAGATCATAAATAAGTCATAAATTTCATATTAAATATTTGCTTACACTTCCCAATTATTTTCTTCTTCATTATCCTATTTAGCAGCTTGCCATTATCCCTTCTTAGTTGTTGTGAGCACTGAATGAAATTAGTAATTAAAGTAAACCACATGGCATTGTTTTCATTTAGGGACTATCAAGAGCCCTGCATTTCCCCACTTCATGTATGTGAGAAGATTAATGTAGGCGGCATTGATAATGGTTATTTGACATACATTTTTAGCAAACGAAGGGAGTTCCTAAAAAGAAACGTAAATACTAATTTCTTAGCACTGCTTGTGAAATAGGATGAAAAGAGAAATTGAGGTGTTTGCAAAGACCCAACAAGTTGTTTCCCTCAAATGGGGAAGTTTATCTTACTATGATAAATAATACATTATTTCCCGTTTACAGCAACCTGTGCTGGCCAGTTATCTAGTTGAATGAAACCCTCTTTTTTCCTGCAGCAGAAATAAAGTTGAGTTTTGGGAGCTGGGTGAAAATAAAGTCCTACTTATTTTCTGAGATCGAAGGGGCAAATCCAGCCTGGTAGTATTCTCGTGAATATATTTATCTGTTTAAGGGGTATGAGTTCCCCATATATCCTTAAAAGTATCAAATGTAAATATACATATTTACTCATTAAGTTTTCATTAATTTATAATAAGAGGGAATTCAAATAAAGGACACTAAAAACCTATAGATTTTCAGGTGAAGCTTCTAGTTTTGTAAGTTGTATTGATCACTTGACACTTCAAAGTAAAGAAAATAAGAATTTAATGAATAATCTAAAACATTACTGAAAAGAATTTCCCTAGAAATTTACTTATCAGTACAAAAAATAAAATTTTTTACACAATGTATTTTCCATAAAAAATAGTGTTTGTAAGAAAATAGTGTTACATAAATAAAGAGAAACTATATGGCATTTTAGATCAGAAGGAAGAGGCAGTTTTCTTGAAGAAGATAAGAAATGTTCAGGGATAACAATTTTTCAGTTGTTTGTATTATATCACATTTTGAAAATGTTAGTGGCTCGTTTATTGTTTTAATATTATTGAAACTGATATTTTTCACTATTGCCAAAGCAGTAGCTGATAATAGTTAAGTGTCCACAGCTGTATTACCTGAGAGTGATAAAACTGCATCTGGGAGGTTTTAATACTTTAATAAAACAGGCCCAAACCCTATTTCCAAGTTGAACAAAACTACTCTGACTTGCCCATGCCCATACCACTAACCAGAAGAATCCAGAGTTAGAGATGAGGTGTCCAGTTTTCTAGTTGTAATTTGCCCCCATCCCACCCATAATTTTGAGAACCCAATAAAACTTTTAACGCTGAATTTTGTAACCATGGTCATTATCAGCTTGGTTCATTGTGATCCTCTCAGATGGTCCCTTATCCTTCCAGTGCCTTCTCCATAACTCCACCAGATCAAGGCTCTGTGGACACCTGCATGACTACTTCATGGGTGGGGGAGACATAAGTTTCTCAAGCCCTGAGTCATAGGCGAAGATACAATGGGAAAAAGGAATTTCACAAAATGGGAGAAATTGCATGTTAGTCAAAGTAGTTCCCGAGAATAAACCCGTACAGAAAACAAACTTTCCTGATGTCATCTTCGCTCTAATTTCAGAAGTGCTATATTAATAGGTATTTAGACCCATATGCTCCCAGGCTACACAAAGCAAAGATATTATCAGTTGCCCTGCTTCCTAGGTACACTGGCTGACAGAATAATGAATGCTATATAAATGCTTAACTGGAGACTTCCCTGAATTCTTTCTGTTTTAAACTTTCAGGTGATTTGATTATTTTGAAACATGTTACATGTAATTGTATAATGTTAACTAAATTATTGGTATTAAATTTAGGATGTTGTTTTAAGAATTACCTGAGGAGATGTACTTACTGTCTGCTTTCTAGTAGCATACTTCATGTTGTGCTGAATTAAAGTTAACCATTCAAGATTTATTTTATTGGGTTATGATGTTATTTGTTGATCGTGCCATATTTCATTTCATAACTTTGGAAAATGTGGTATGAGTTTCATTTGTGGGCTAATGATGAAATGATCATTGCCATTTGCAGCAACATGGATGGATCTAGAGAGTATAAATGCTAAGCGAAATAAGCCAGAGAAAGACAAGTACCATATGACGTCGCTCATGTGTAGAGTTTAAGAAACAAAACAAAGAACTGCCCCCCCCTCCGCAAAAAAAAAACCAGACTCTTAATTATAGAGAACAAATAGAGGGTTACCAGAGGGAAGGTGGGTGAGGAGACAGGTGAAATAGGTGAAGGGGATGAAGAGTGCACTTACCATAATGAGCACTGAGTAATGTATAAAATGCTGAATCACGGTATTATACACCTCAGATTAACATAACACTGCTAACTAAAGAATTTTTTAAAAACATGAAATGATCATATTATGATATAATTATATTACATCTTCTACTAGAAATGCCTGAAAATTTTTCAAAACTGACTGAAAATTTGGATATAAACTTTTCTTTTACTTGAAGTAGTACATAAGTTACAAAGGTAATGTAATTATAAAATTACCAAATAATTAGAAAGTGCAAATAGCAAAAATAACCCACATTTCCATCTCCCCAAAATAATCATAGTTAACATATTTTGTACTCTACCAGCTTTTAATTTCCAGTGCCTTTTTTCCTATAGTTGGAATTAAATGGAGAGTGAAGAAAATAGAGATAAAATTCCCTCTCTCTCTGTTTTTCTCTGTGCCTCTCTCCCATGCCACCTGTGTGTGTATACCTATGTGTTGTATTTCTGTATACATATATCTTTGCATATATTTATTTATTAAATATAGATTAATATCTATAAATATATCAAATACATATTATATAAAATTTATATAAATATATATATTATAAATATATATATATATATATATTTGAGTACAAAACTCAGGAAACCAAATATGCAGTTTTGATCTTATTTCAATTTTAAAGAATAAAAATGTTTGAATATATGCATGTATACATATGTGTTATATTTCTATAAATTTCTGGTTACCAGCATTTTCCACTCAACAATAGATAATGAACATATGCTATTATGCTTTTTCTAATAATCTTTGATGCTGCAACTACAATCTAACCTATTTTGGGCAATTTGTTTCCTTATAAATGTTTACTATAATAAGGAATAGGACAGCCAACATCCTTGTAGTCACTACCCTTGTTATCAAGAGGGTGGACCTCATTAAATCTATAAAATGAAAAAAGAATCCATAGTATTTAAGGAGTTAGTCATATTCTTTGTATCTGCTATTAAAATGTGAGGCGGGACCCCTAGGTTGCTCAGTCAGTTAAGTGCTGGGACTCTTGATTTCCGCACTGGTCCTGATGTCAGGGTCATGAGGAGCTCTGAATTGGGTTCCACACTGTGCGAGGAACCTGCTTAAGATTCTCCCTCTCCCTCTCCCCCTCCGTCCCTCTCCCTGCCACCCTACCCCTTTGCATTGTCTTTCTTAAGGGGTGGGGGGCGGGGAAGAATGTCAGGAAAGCCAGCAGGTTGCGAAACAGGCTTTGAGATAGTCACTTAGAAGGTTTCGCAGGCTTAACCTCCCTACGGCGCATGTGCTAGAAAAGAAAGACATCTTGGATCACTTTGTCAGATCCCATCATCACTACAGATAAACAAAAGAAATTTCATAAACAAAACTAGAAACTTTTTTATATTGCCAGAACTACAAGGAACTACACGGGAATGGGAGTTGTTTAATGGGTACAGAAATCCAGTTTCTCAAAAGGAAGGAATTCTAGAGATCGGCTGCACCTCCGAGTGAGGGTGCTTAGCATTACTGAACCGTACGTTTAAAAATGTGTGAGATGGTAAATTTTATCTTACGTGTATTTTACCACAATTCAAAAAAAAAAACTGTACAGCAAGACAAAATGCTTACTCATTCATCCATGGGAGAAATACAGAGAAAACTTCTCCCCTAATTAGAGAGATGTCTTTTCCTTTGGTCTGATCAGATCGACTTGTTTATCCGGGACGACATATCCTTGATTCAATTACAGTTCTGAGGAATGTCCTAGCTGCTCAGTTTAAACGGAGATTGAACACTGAGTAGAAAAGAAACATTTCAACCACACCTTCTGATCATTCCTCCTTACAGATTTTTTTTTTCCCTTGGATATTCTTGCCCACCTAATTTTGAGATAAGCTTTAGGATTCTTTTTGAAGCTTTTAAAACAAAATTATGATTCTTGGTAGAATTGCATTAATTAGGCATAGTAAGAAAATATGTTGGTTAGAAAAAGAATAAAACCGGGGTGCCTGGGTGGCTCAGTGGGTTAAGCTGCTGCCTTCGGCTCAGGTCATGATCTCAGAATCCTGGGATCTAGCCCCGCGTCCAGCTCTCTGCTCAGCAGGGAGCCTGCTTCCTCCTCTCTGTCTGCCTCTCTGCCTGCTTGTGATCTCTCTGTCAAATAAATAAATAAAATCT